AGTAGCCATAGCAGTAGTAGAAGTAGCAGTAATAATAGTAGTAGTAGCAGTAGAAATAGTAGTAGTAGTAGTAAAAATAGTAGTAGTAGTAGTAGTAGTAGTCGTAGTCATACTAGTAGTAGTACAAAGAAGTAGTATTAGTAGTAATAGTAGTAGCAGTAATAATAGTTGTAGTAGTAGAAGTAGTAGTAGTAGCAGTAGAAGTAGTAGTAGTAGAAGTAGTCGTAGTAATATTAGTAGTAGTAGAAATAGAAGTAGTGTTAGTAGTAATAGTAGTAGCAGTATTAATAGTTATAGTAGTAGTAGTAGCAGTAGGAGGAGTAGTAGTAGTAGTCAAAATAGTAGTAGTAGTAACAGAAATAGAAGTAGTAGTAGTAGTAGTAGTAGCAGTAGAAGTAGTAGAAGTAGTCAAAATAGTAGTAGTAGTAATAGAAATAGTAGTAGCAGTAGTAGCAGTAGAAGTAGTAGTTGTAGTAGTTATAGAAGTTATAGAGGTAGTAGTAGTAGTAGTAGTCAAAATAGTAGTAGTAGTAACAGAAATAGAAGTAGTAGTAGTAGTAGTAGCAGTAGAAGTAGTAGAAGTAGTCAAAATAGTAGTAGTAGTAATAGATATACTAGTAGTAGTAGTAGTAATAATAGTAGTAGTAGTAGTAGCAGCAGAAGTAGTAGCAGTTGAAGTAGTAGCAGTAGAAGTAGTAGTGAAGTAGTAGCAGTAGAAGTAGTAGTAGTAGTAGTAGCAGTAGTAGTAGTAGCAGTAGAAGTAGTAGCAGTAGAAGTAGTAGTAGTAGTAGTCAAAATAGTAGTAGTAGTAGTAATAGAAATAGAAGTAGTAGTAGCAGTAGTAGCAGTAATAATAGTAGTAGCAGAAGCTGTAGTAGTAGTAATAGTAGTAGTAGCAGTAGAAATATTAGTTGTAATAGTGGTAGTAGTAATAGCAGTAGAAGTAGTAGTTGTAGTAGTTATAGAAGTTATAGAGGTAGTAGTAGTAGTAGTGGTCAAAATAGTAGTAGTAGTAATAGAAATAGAAGTAGTAGTAGTAGTAGTAGTAGCAGTAATAATAGTCGTAGCAGAAGCTGTAGTAGTAGTAATAGTAGTAGTAGCAGTAGAAATATTAGTTGTAATAGTGGTAGTAGTAGTAATAGCAGTAGATGTAGTAGTAGTAGTAGTAGTAGTAGTTATCTATTTATTTATTTGAGATATTATTTTCGTTGTTTTCACTCAGCTCCAGCTCAAACTGTTCGACCAAATCTCAGGGTTTAAAAGTTCACAGGTCACGATTCATGTTCTCAAACTGAACGAACGACTTCAACAGAGTGAAACTCACTGGACTCGACTGGATTTAAACAGGCTGGATTTTCTTGCGACCTGCGATTACCGATCGGGAGCTGATCGTGAGGGATTAATCGGTTCTCGTTACCAAAGTTTACTACACGATTAAGGTTATGTTTATGTGATGACAGAAGACGGAAAAGTGGTGTCGCGTCTTCACTTTTTATTCCGCGTTTAGACGAGGTTTTCGGGAGGAAAACAGTGACGCAAAAGTGTGTGGAATTCGACATGTTTGTTTCTGCGTCCTGTATGTATTTTACGTAAAAGTGTACGCGACCTGAGCAAATCTGACCAGAGTTTTGCATCTTGGGCAGCGTAGACGAAAACGCTACGTCGAAACGTGATCAACTTTTCCACTCTGGAGGCTGGTTTCAGACTCTTCATGTTGGTCGAAGCAGCCGATGGCGAATGTCGTTTTTACCCGTCGGCCCAGTAAACACAACAAGAGTATTAGTTGTATGTGTTAATTATTGTCCACCCAACGGTAAACAAACGGCCCCCATGCTGTTTTTATCGTAACGTTGCAAAAGTGTTTTAAAGTTTTACACTAACGACAAGCCACGCTGGAGGGTGGTTTCAGATTTTTGCGTTTTTAAGCCCCAAAAACGCCGTGATCGTCTAAACGAAAGGCACTTCTGATAAAATATTTTGATATTTTTTTTACCCGCAAACGTTCTCGTGCAAACAGACCCTAAACCAAAACGTGGCCCGATCCCAAAAACAGTCGCACGAGTGAAAAAATCGGCTCAAAAATGGCCAAAAAATCACTACCCCTGACCAGAAAAGTTACATAGTGGACCTTTAATCCTGAATATTTCATCAACAGGCCGCACATTCCACATTTCTAAAACGTTTGGAACGCGAAACTAAATCGCTTATTGAATGCAATCCAACGTTATAAGTGAATCTTTCCAAAACAATATTCATAAACTTTTTCTACTAGGAGATTCGCCACCTGCTTGTCTCCATGGCGATGTTCCACAGTGTAGCATTACGTTTATCTGCAAGAAAACGAAACCGAATAGGCTGTACTGAATGAAGTCCAAGCACAATCGCCTTTCTAAAACCAGATTATGTTTCTGAGTCCACACGGTCCGGGGCCTGAGCGCAGATGATTTTTGCAGCGCAGCCAGTCTGAGAACATGGCTTCCTCTTGGCCCCATGTCGAGCCCCTGCCCCATTGTGGAATATCTGATCTCCATTCCAAACTGTCGGCTTCCGCTGGCGACACTCAACAGCCCGCACCGGCAATGCAAACTCATTCCTGGGCACATCCAAGGCCAAACCTCCCGGGGAGAGAGAAAGAAAGAAAGAGAGAAAGAAAGAGAGAGAACCATGCGTGTTCACCCGTATCGTTTTACACGCGAATGTGGAATTTTTCATTGGGCTTTCCGCGAGCCTTTTGTGCCGCGGTGCCTCCTCGGCTCCTGTCCGGGCTCCGGTGAAACATGCGCCGCTGATTGCGTGTTGGGGCCCACGGCAAACAGTAGGCACCCGGGCTGTAATGCATCCCCCAAGCCGGGAATCAACAAATCATAAATCAGCGGGGTCGTTCCGTGCGGAGTGGAGGAGATCGGGTTAAGGCATTCCTCTTGCGCGTAAAAAGAAGGGACAAGGAGAATGAAATCACGTGATGTTTTAGAGTATTTTAGCGGGGAGGAAAGTTAAAGAGTCGATTTTGCGTCGTGAGAGTCGAAGCACAGATGTTCAGAGCTGGTTTATAGGTCATATTTTTGGTTACGGGAGCTTTTACGCACAAACTTTAACGCGTCTTTTGGGTTTTTTATGAACTACAGTGGGATTTTACAAGTTTATCACCAAAAATACTTCATTGTAAATATATTTAAAGATAATTTGAGCATTTTCTTTCCTAAAATAGCGCTATTGATCGTCCTCGTGGTAGGCCCGGGCTCGGTTTGGCGCAGGTTACGTGGTTTTGCTTCATTAGTTTAGTTAATGTTGCCGAGGCCTCTTAGCACTTTGTCTTCTAATGGATCCAAGCCACAACTCCACAGTCAAACGCTTTTAGACGCGGATGAGTCCTCAAGGCTACAATACTTTTATTAAATTATGTATGAAACTACGGAGCGATGCGTAATATTTATCAGATGGTATTTTGGAGCTGGCGTTGATGCATTAGGGCGGATGTCATGGTTGGAGTAGAATTGTCATGTTACCAAAATGATGTTTAAAGGCGAAATGCAAAGACAAAAGTGATTTTTTATAAAAAGATAAGACGCTACAACGACATGAGAAAATCCAATTTAGGCTTTAGGCGAATTGTTTGAAAAAAAAAAAAACTATAACACCAATAGGATTCTAACTGGTATTTCTTTAAGTAAAAAAAATAAAAAAATAAAATTAAAAAAATAAAATAAGATACGCTTTTCTGTTTTTAGTAATTAAATTTTAAAGTCTACAAAATAATAATAATAATAATAATAATAATAATAATAAATAGTAGCAGTAGATGGTTTAGTAGTAGTAGAAATAGAAGTAGTGCTAGTAGTAGTAGTAGTAGTTAGTTGTTGTTGTAGTTTGTAGTAGCAGTAGTACAAATAGAGGTAGTAGTAGTTGTAGTAGAAATAGTAGTAGTAGTAATAGCAGTAGTAGAAACAGTAGTAGTAGTAATAGCAGTAGAAGAAACAGTAGTAGTAGTAGTAGTAGTAGTAGTAGTAGTAGTAGTAGTAGTAGTAGTAGTAGTAGTAGTAGCAGTAGAAACAGTAGTAGTAGTAATAGCAGTAGAAGAAACAGTAGTAGTAGTAGTAGTAGCAGTAATAATAGTACTAGTAGAAGCTGTAGTAGTAGTAATAGTAGTCGTAGCAGTAGAAACACTAGTAGTAGTAGTAGTAGTAGTAGTAGTAGTAGTAGTAGTAGTATTTATTTGAAATATTATTTGATGGCTACGAAACATCTGTAAAGTAAACAAATAAAATACATACATACATATATATTTCCTTTTTTTTTTTTTGGTGATGTGAGTTTATATTTGCACAAACTTGTGCAGTAACTCGACTCTTATTAACTCTCACATAATTGAGCAGCTCTCTCTTTTAAACGCTTCCCTTCGTGTGTTTGAGTGTTTGACCGCTTCCTCGTTTCCAGCCCTCTCCAAAAGGTCAGCGCGCAGGCCGGGCCGATGACGCACGGACGCACTGGAAGAGGAGGGAGGGAGGGAGGGAGGAAGAAGAAGGGAGGGAGAGGGGAGGAGGGACCAGTCAGCAGGCTAAACCCTCTTCTCTCCCGCGTGCAATAAATTATCTCAGCAGTAGGTGGCGCTCGGAGCTCACCCCGGACACCTCTGGAGCAACAGGAGCCGAGAGTCGAGCCTCTTTCCCTCCCCGCCCGCCTCCTCTCCTCTTCTCCCTCCGCCGTGCGCCCGCCCTCCCATCATTAGAAACCCCAGAGCATGAATTACCTCTCCGAAGTCATCCGGGTAGAATTTACGACTGGTCAACAAAAGCACGTGACCGCTCCTGGCACCCTCCTCCTCCTCCCCTTCCCCTTCCCCTCCCCTGCCAGCGCGCGTTCTGTGCGTCTCTCTCTCTCTCTCTCTTTCTCTCTCCGTGCGTCTCTCTCTCTCTCTCCTCACCCTCTCCTCCCCCATCGCGCACACCACCCCACCCCCATATTTGGACGGGCGGCATACATAGCTAAAAACGAACTACAGTGCAACGCCATAATTCACTAATACGTCATAAATCGTTGAAAGTACCCGCGTTATAACGACCAAGAGAAATATAACAAATCAAGCGGCCCTTAATACGCAACTGTTAAGGCTGCAACTCTCTAAAACAACCTAAATGAGCTCGTACTTTGTAAACTCGTTCTCGGGGCGATACCCAAATGGCCCCGACTATCAACTCCTAAATTATGGAACCAGCGGCGGCGGCGGCGCGATGAACGGCGGGACGTACAGGGACTCTACCCCGGCCACGATGCACCATGCGACGGGCGGCTCTTACGGCTACGGCTACAATGGCATGGATCTGACGGTGGGCTCCAGCCGGGGAGGAGGTGGAGGCGGCGGCGGAGGAGGAGGGGTGAGCGCCGGTAACGCCAGCGGGAGCGGCGGCGGCGGCGGTGGCAGCGGAGCCGGGGCGCACTTTGGCGGAGCGGGCGCTGTTGGATTCGGATCCCCGGAAAGAGGCTACAGACAGGCGGCCAGCTCGTGCTCCCTGGCGGATACTTCACTTCTCTCCCCGGGAAACGGCAGCAGCGGAGCGGGAGGAGGAGGAGGAGGAGGTGGGGACGCCAGCAAGAGTTCTCCGTCCAAGCAGGAGGGCAGCGGCAGTGGCGGTCTCGTCTCGGCTAACCTGTCCTCTGGGGCCGGGAGCGTCGGAGGAGGCAAGTCGCAGCGCTTCACCGAGCTGGATGACGGCTCCCCGGACGTGGAGGAGCTACACGCGGGCCACACTTCCAGCAGGAGCGGGCACAAGCATGACGCGGGGCCGGCGGGGTCAGCACCGGCGGCGGGCAGCGAGGCGCACTCTCCCCAGATATTCCCATGGATGAGAAAACTGCACATAAGCCATGGTACACGCGCTGCTGTGTTGTCTTCTTATTAACTGGCTGTTACGAGACAGTAGGGCTCTTATTTATGAAGCTAATTATACTCACCATAAACACCACGTTCAATATTTGCATGCGTAAAGCGTAAAATCTCCTTTCTTGTAGCTAAGCATTGAACGCGTTTCCGCAAAAGCACTCCTTTATTTATTTAGTGCAAACATACTTTAATATCTGATAATTTATGGTACACTAAACGCTTATAAAGACGAGTGGAGCGTGGTGCTGAGTAGCTGACATCGTGTTAATACCGGCTTTAATCTGCGCGCAAAAACTCCAAAGACGAGCCCTGTCTTATTTTACGATTGTTCATTATTATTTTAGCAAATTCCTGCAAAGCGTCATAAATCTGTCAGGAGGGGAGCCGGGGAGAGAAGGGGCAGCCCGGGCAGAGCAGCGTACGGGCGGGGGAGCAGGAGCAGACACAGCCGGGTGCGAAGAGAAGAAAGCGAGGAGAGGCGAAGGCTTTGGAGAGCTGCCGGCCTCTCTTTGAAAAGTGCAGCTTTATTACGTGTGGGAACTTTATTAGCGAGGTGAAGCAGAGGACGGGGCCATAAAAGTGCGGAGGGGAGCCGGGGGAACCGAGGGCACGGGGCGGAGGGTGGAGGGGGCGACCGCAAGAAGGAGAAGAAGAAGAAGAAAAAAAAAAAGCCAATGTGACAAATAAAAGCAACAAAGGCGAGAATAAAAGTCATGTGCGCTTTTTTGGGGGGTGACGCTTTTACGCACGTTGGTTCACTTAGGAGGGCGCATGGATGGATGTGGCCAGAGTTCGCAGGCGCGGGTGAAAAGCGGTAACACCTGTAGCCAACTGTTCAAGATGGGTTTGGGAATAGTTTGGAATCCCTTTGTGCGCTCACAAAACAGCTCGGTTGGATGAAATGTCCGTTTTGGAAACATGCGTGCGTAAAGTACTAAATTACAAGTTTATACGTCACTAAACACTTTTTACTGATGGTTTAGTGTAGAGGAATACGTTTTTATTTCTATTATTCACTTTTTGACGCGAGCATTTCGTGGTCATAGATAAAAAAACACACACTTTCGTACAGAAAAACGCGTTTATCCTTACCTAAAATTACGCACCAACTTGTTTACAACTCACTATGCTGCAATTACATGTGTTCTAGGTTTCACAGTGGTCTCTTTTACGCGTGGGTTCTAATTAGTTAGATGTACAACTGTCACTTTCATTCACAATATTTTTGACATAATAAAAGGGGTGATTTTGGCTTAGAATATGACACTGGCTTTACTAAAAAAAATATTTAGTATTTTCGATCATATTTGTCTTTTACGCGTGGATCCTAAAGCTGCAGCTGTAACTTTCACTTCCAATTTTATTTGATTTATAAGAGGGTTGGTTTAGACATGCCAACTTTACCTCCCTAGTGCTTCTCTGCGACTAGACTGCACCGTCAAAACATGAATAACAACATATAGTGACCTCTTTTTACGCGTGGATTCTAATTGGCTAACCCCAAGAGCTATAACATCCACTCCCGATATTATTTGACATTATGAGGGGGGTTGATTCTGGCTCGCCAATCTCACCTCCCTAGCCCTTTTGTGCTACCAGATAACAGCGTTGAAATATGAATAATAAACATCATGCGTGTAGTGGTCCCTCGCTTTTACGCGTGGATTCTAATTGGCCAAACCCTCAGCTGTACCTTCGACTTCCTATTGTATTTTGACAGTATAAGAGGGTGGATTTTGGCACAACGACCTCACCTCCCCCCAGGGCCTTTTGTGCTTCCAGACTGCAGAACTGAAATATGAATGATAAACACAAACTGCAACTTCGACTTCCTATTTTATTTGATATTATAGCGTGTAGTTTTGGCTTATCAACGTTTCGTTCTTTGTGCTACTCGAATGAAACTGTAAAATTAAAATAAATAAAAAAAAATACTTAAATAATAGTGTAGTGATTTCTGAAACGTGGAATTCTAATTGGCTGATTTTAAGAGCTGTAACTTCACTTCCGATATTATTTTGAGATTAAATTGTACGATTTTGGCTTATCAAATATTTCGCCTCATAGCCCCTTTGTGCGTTTTGGTTGTTTTATGAATTATAAACATAATACACACGATAAGGGCATTTTGATAGTCAAGCGAGATTGCGGCTCATTCACGCGTAGCTGCAACACCAGGCAGATAACGTATCTGCGCGTAAAAGTGCCATATTGTGCCATGTTGCGCAGCTGTGACTCACTGTAACTGTAACTGTACCCACTCCAATCCTCCAGATATGACGGGACCGGACGGCAAGCGGGCGCGCACGGCCTACACGCGCTACCAGACCTTGGAGCTGGAGAAGGAGTTCCACTTCAACCGGTACCTGACGCGGAGACGGCGCATCGAGATCGCGCACGCCCTCTGCCTCACGGAGCGCCAAATCAAGATCTGGTTCCAAAACCGGCGGATGAAGTGGAAGAAGGACAACAAACTGAAAAGCATGAGTCTGGCCACCGGAGCTAGCGCATTCCAACCTTAAAAAAAACAAACCCGAAAAAACACACAAAAAAATGAAAACACACAAAATATAGGACCAGCCCTCAGCAAAGTATCCGTCCATTTCATTTGGAGAGAGAATTCTGGGCAGACTGAACAAATATAGGGAGATTAAAGGGGAAACTTGAAGACACATTCACAAAAATATAATGAAGAATATGAACTTTTTGCGCGCGGAGATTCCAAAATGTTCCTTCGTGGACTGTATACAGCAGCACTTTCAATGTCTGGCATGTGTGTTGTCGTATTTTAACTGTGGTACAAAAACGTAAAGTGTTGTCGTCTTTTCTTGTCGTTATAGTTGTTTAAAAATACTACCTATAACTTTCTACCTACCTACTTGTTGTTTATGTATGATGTTTCGCATTTGACAGCGCTTTTTCCGCATGTGAGCTCTTATTATGAAATTGTTATAAGTTATTTAGCGCCAATATTGTGCGTATATGTTATTCCCGTGTCCTTTTTGTCGTTGTTTTCTCTATTGATGTCATTCAAAACTGCTGCTTTTTTGAAGTGAAGTCAGCGTAAGAGTTCCACGTCCTCCAAGCCCCAACCGTGTACATATAGCATCAAGTGCAATTGCTATATTAATGGTATTGTAAGTATTGAATTTGCAAAACGTTGTAAATAGTATGCTGTACGGTCGTTTCTATTGTGGCTACTCGGAGTTGTGATTGGCAGCGGTTACGTGTGCGTGTGGCTTTTTAGATACCCATCTGTTTACGCGGACTGATATTACGCGCAGGTCATTACATCTAGGGTTAGCCATGTTGTGGTCAGCGCAAATCTCCAGGAAATGAATGGAAGTCAGTGTCCCTCGATGACAAACGTGTACGTGTGGTGTACAGAAGTGTGTGTGTGTGTGTGTGTGTGTCTGTGTGTGAGTGTGTGTACGTGTGCGTGTGGCTGTGCGTCAAAACAAAATGGCTACCGAGCTCAAAGGTCTGTAAGCTCTCTGCCAATAAGCTTTTTGTATTTGTTTGTATCTTGGAGTATAATAAAACTGTGCGACGACCAAAAGTTTTTCAAATGTTGTGGTCTGAATGCCAAACTGTACCCAAATGGCTGCGCAAACCCTCCCAGAAACGCGTAAAAGCTTTGAAAACTTCAGGTTGGAGTGTGTTTGGAGAGTTCATTTCAGTTTAAGACAAATCGGTGTAATTGTATTTGTGCATGTGGATTCCAGCTCTTCATATGCAAATGTGCGGAGAGGGATGGCACGAGCCGCCAGCTGCCAAGCGAATGCCAAACTCATCAGCTCCGCTGTAGACGTGAGGGAGACTAGAGGAGCTAATGTTGCTGTGAGATGAAAATGGCAAAGCCAAAATTATACTAAATGTTAGAATTTTCCATTGGTTCAGAATTGCGCCATTTTGTGCACATTCTGCTACTTCTGGAGGCGCACAATTCTACTTGAAATCTGATAAGGTGCAACCTCAGCCTTATGACATTTGTATTAGTTGTTCATATCTCGGCTACATGAAGAATGGTCCCAGTGCAAAACAATATCTAAAACCCACAAGGAACCCGTCACTTTCCCGAGCGCAATTTAAACTGTGAGCGCCACAAGTGGCTTATTTCAAAAGACTTAAACAAGATACATTTCCATAAAGAGACAAATATACACACATGGAGCCATATCTTGACATATTTGAAACATTGAATATGTATTTATCATTTAAAATAGTCAGAATAAAAGAAATATTCTAGAGTGCACCAGTCAAACTCCCGCTCAGGGCCTGTCCTCACGTCCCGGGTCACAACGTGAACCTGAACACATCACCACGTACACACACAGTTAGAGCATCTTTGAGCTCTCCAAACTCCAAAACAACCCCCTGCTCCCCACTGCAGCGCGCACAGGCCAGGTCCACGTGACCAGGCGACAGGACAACAAAGTGCGCGCTCTGGACAAATTGCTCACTTTTCTCTAAACAGCCTGGCTTTTCCGTCCTGACGGATGCCACTCCCGGACAAATTAGGTTACCTTGTTCCAGCTGGTAAACAAGCAACTGAACTTTTCCACTCACCGGCTGCTGCTGCCTTTCTGCGCCGTCTGTCTCGGGTTGAACCCGGGGCCAGCGCCTCTCCTCCCCGCGCTGAGCTCTACCTGCTGCCCGCTCCGTGTCTGTGTATGTGTGCACGTGTTTTTCAAGAGAAGCCCCTTCTGCTTTGGGCCAAACGATAAAAAGCAGGCGGCTTTGACATTTACATGTCAAACGGATGATAGTTTTTATGTCCAAGTTGGATCGTAAAGATCAGGCCTGGCCTCAGACTGATACCTCTCACTGGCTCGCCTCTGGTCACGTGGGGTCCATAAAGTTAGTTTTATGGTTTTGGGGAGTTGACAATGTACTATATATTTCACATTCTAGAAAGCAAGTGACGGTTTAACGGCTACGCGGGGATCCTAAAGGGGTCAGTAAAGCAGAGAGGGTGGGAGAGCGTGTACGGACGGCTGAGGAGAGCTTATCCCGGGATACTGTGCTTTTGTACGCGGACAGGCTCTGGTTCTAGCCCGGGAGCTCCGGGTAATGTCTGGGGAGACTTGGACCGCGCCGATAAGAACAGTAAGTGGTGTTTGAGGACTGTCTGTGCGGGGAGGGGCGGGCTGGGAGCGGTGTAATTATCATGTCACTCAGTCAGTGTGTAGCGCACTGCATTACGGAGATCTGAAAGCTGTTGTTGTGGCGCACCGAGCCGTGTGTGTGTACGTTGCTGTCGCTTGTGCGTGTGCGTAATGGCGCACTGGGCATCTCACCGTCGAGCTGTGGACAGACGCGTCTTAGCTCGAGTATACTTTTACGAGTCTGTGTGTGGGATGGAGTTAGACTAAGTACATCCATCGAGACGTTTTCAAATTACGTTTACATCGTTGCGTTGTTTTTTAGAGAGCTACAATGGTGCGTTTTAAAATTGTTTGGGAGTTAGTGTCTGGATATTGTACTGGCCTGACTTCAAACTGAAAGCATGTCCAAACTGCCTTCTGCCTCCTCTGTTTTGAAATGTGATATTCAATGGTGGTTTTCCAAATGAGCTGATCCATTCCGTGTTTATGTTGTGTGAAACTGATATGTTGTATCTCCCCGCGGATCTCCTGATAAATATACCGCTATCATTTTGTAAAGTGAAGCCATATTTCCAGTCTTAGCGCTATTATTGCTATTGATCTAGAGGCCACATTTTTGGCACATTTACGCACGACCTCCATGTGCGTAAAAATGGCTCCAATAAAGAATATACGCAGTGGGACTTGTAGTTGTGTCTGATACCATTTGCCAAGTAGTAAATGGATGAGCACGCATCTGTGGCACGCGTCCTTGGGTAGGTTTTTAGCGAACGTGTGCGCGCATTTCCCCTCCCCTTGCGATATCCGCACAGGAAGGGCGCGAGGCAGACGTGCACAGCCAAGGCCCGTCACCAGGAGCGTCCTTGTGGGTTGTTTTGGAGCACGTACCGGGCCTGGTGTTTGACCTGTGGCGCGGGCACGGAGCTCCAGCTGAATACTGGCGTTTCGTGCGTAAAAGTGCATTTGTAAACATGGAACATAACGCAATAATATTAAACACTTTCTGTGAAATTGTAGCCACATGCACAGAAGTATTTATGAAGTATTTTTGTACACACTCCTTAGTAATTAGTAATAGTAGTAGTATTTTATTTTAAGAAAGTGACTTCTAATATATTTGTAGGGTGTGTACACAAAATCACCAGATCAAAACTGGGACGAGACCAGGACTAAACCAAGACTAAATCAGGACTAAACTAGGACTAAACCAGGACTAAATCAGAACTAAATCAGGACTAGACCAAGACTAAATCAGGACTAGACCAGGACAAAACCAGGACTAAATAAGAACTAAATCAGAACTAAACCAGGACTAAACCAGGACTAAATCAGGACTAAACCAGGACTAAATCAAAACTAAATCAGGACCCAACCAGGACTAAACCAGGATTAAATCAGGACTAAACCAGGACAAAATCAAAACTAAATCTGAACTGAATCAGGACTCAATCAAGACTCAACCAGGACTAAACCAGGTTTAAATCAGGACTAAACCAGGTCTAAATCAGGACTCGAACAATATTCTGCCAGGACTAAATCAGGACTAAATTCTGCCAGGACTAAATCAGGACTAAATCAGACCTAGACCAGAACTCGATCAGGACTACATCAGGACTCAAAGGACCAAAGCAGGAATGCACCTTTGAAGTGTCCATTATAAATTACGAAGGAGACTAGATGGTTTTACGTTGATCTTGTACTCGATTGTGTTCTACTCTGCACTGTTACTGCGATTTTATTTGCATTTTAGTGTTTTTTAAGCATATAAAAGAGAACATATTCAGTCTATCAAAAAACTTGACAAAGCGTCTTGCAAAAACTCGATTTAAATGCATAGAAATTTCTGCATTTGAAACTAAAACGGCCACGGGAAAACGCGACGCTGTACCGACGCGTGCGCTGCTGGTTACGCGGACGCACGGGATGGCACCGCGGCTCTTATTGCTCCAGTTTGTCATTTAAGCGCCTCCATTTCGGTATAGGCAATATAACAGAGCGGAGATGGAAGGTTTCCCAGGAAAAAAAAAAAAAACTCAACCTCGTCCCCCCGTGCGTAAAAACGTGCCTATCCAAATGGGGCCAACAAAGCGGACAATACGAATTACGGTCGTGTTCCGTGTCAAACCTGATTGTAACATGGCACCCTGTGGAGAGATCCCGTAGGAGATTAATGGTACATGTATTCATAAGCTTTTGGACTCATTTATCCAATAAGATGACTCCTTTACACTGTAGAAAAACCAAACATTAAAGAAAATATATTACGCTTTTTTTCTGATGAAGTTATAATATAGTTTCTTTAACCAGAAGTTGTGTTTTGTTTCATTCACACGTGTTTAAACACACACATCCTTCATGTTTACGCTTTGGAGTCCTTCTCTCAAACTGTAAACACTCTGTTCCACCTCGTGATGTCACGTGTTGATACAGAAAATGCTCCACTGCGTTTTAAAACTCCACAAACCTTCACCAGAATCATTTGGATCAATCTAGAATTGTCAATTTCTAAATAACTGAAAGTAAAAAATGAGTTGTTAACTTAAAAACTACCACTACGTTTTGCATTTTGAGCTTTGGAGATGTGGAAAAACTAATAATAAATGTGTGAATGAAAGAAAACACAGCCCCAGGTCTGTTTGTTTTCGAGGACGTGACTTAAAGCTCACAAGAGTCAAATTTGCGTAATATCGGACTTTTAATAACGCTGCTTTTGTCAAAACGGATACAGCGTTTATTATTAGTTTAATTTAGCAGCTGTGGCATTAATTCACATTTAGTAAGTGGCTAATTAAGGAGTTAGAACAAAAAGAACAGTAGTACAGGGATGATTTAGTTGCCAGTAAACATTAGAGGAGACGCCATTTGGAAAGTACCGGGTTTGTCTAAAAAAAAAAAACTTTACGACAAATGGAAACGAAACAGGCAAAGTTAAGAGTTAAGACAGAGTGGAAAATTAGGTCAAAACGCCAACACTCCCAATAACATTTCCTAATACTCATTTTTAAATTATGATTGTGCGTTTTGGCTTTGGCAATTTCATTATCTACGTTGTAAATTCACGGTTGCACAACGTCGTGCGATTTTTACGCGTTATCTGGTCTTAAATTAAACCGATTTTAGAGCTGGTGTGGACTTGGTTTGGTCCTGGTCTAGTCCTGGTCTAGCCCTGGTCTAGTCCTGGGTTAGTCTTGATGGAATCCAGGTTTAGTTTTGGGTCCAGTCCTGGTGTAATCAAGATTTAGTTTTGGATTTTGTCTTGGTTCAGTTCCAATTTCGATGTGGTCAAAGTTCTCTCAAAAGTATTGCAAAAAATTATAAGAGTTAATTAAGATGTAACTGCGTAATTACGAAGCTGAGGTCAGGAGGTTAAGGTATTAATTAAGTCATCGTGAATCATTCTTAATAAACTATTTTGACCGGTACGATTGCGCATTTCTTCACG